AGAAACCTATACCTAGGTTGAAAACTGAATTGTGCGTAAAACTTTACAAACATGCATTTTTAAAGTACAGTCTTCTATAAAAACAATTACTGACCCCCTCAGCCCCTCTGGTGGGGCAGGGATTAAGTCTCAGCATGACCAAGCTATCACCTGTCACTGCCACATGAGTTATATCCCCTGCCAGGGAGCTGACCCTCATGTCCAGGAGACCTCTACTGTCTCACCTGCTGCTCCCCTCAGCAGTGTATTTCCGTACATCTGCCTGTTCTGCTCCCACTGTCTCTGGTCAATCCTCTCATCCCTGTACCACTGACCTTACACCCCATTCTTGTATGTATAAAGAAATTTAAAAAAATTCCTTTAATTAAAAAGTTTCTTACCAGGTAAAGATATCCAGAGTATCATTCTTTTTCTCAGCAAATATATTATATTTGTATTTATACCCTTCTCAAAAGAAAATCCCCCAACCAATAATATTTACAGAACGTCCCTGTTCTCTAAAATGGCTAATTTGGCACATTATGAATTAGGAATCTGAGATTCTGTTGTAACTAAAGCAGAAAGCAATTAAGAAATGTAAAAAACCCACATCATTTACAAAACCCACGTTTTCATTTACCCACAAGGCAGTAAGTGTGGTATAGATAGAAATAACAATTTACCGGTCTTCTGAAGACGGGTATTAGAGGCATGGAGGTTTCTTGCAGCAACGAAGGATGCTCCCAAAGCATTTTTGGAGACCTATTGCAAAAATATATTTTTTTAATTTGACTTGAAAGTTTTTAATAAAAGTGATCTGCTTAAGCAGACTTACTTTATTCAATCAACTTTTTAGTTTGGTTACAAAATAAGAGCTGTATCAGAGTTTTAACGGTCTTCCACAGAGCCTGCAGCAATCTGAACCCCTTCCTCCAAAATGGAATGCCATGATCAAGTCACCTTCAATTCGAGGCTACCACTTCTGTAGGACCTTCTGTAGGATGAGGGTCAATTTTGCTAACAGAAAGCCAAGAAAGACCCTACGGAGCCTGTTAGAACATTAAAACGGCCGATAAATCACCTTCCAAATTAAGATGTACTCTTAGGATGACAAAGTAAGTGAAAATAAAAGTATTCACGTAAAACTTGGGGTAACGTTCACTTCAAAGGAGAAAGAAAAGGGCGGTGACTTTTCCAAGTATTTTTCCAACCTTTCTATTTTACTTGAGTTCTCAATCACCGTTAAGCTATTCCTCAAGGAAGAAATCTTAAATCACGTCCAAGTCTCAAAGGCAAAGTCTTCCTCCTGCGAGACGGAGATAACTTAAACTCGTCTCAGGCTGTCAGCACACGAAATGCGTTTTTGCACTAGTCTGGTGGTTGGGGTAATTCTGCACAAAGTGGTGGCCTAGAGAAGTGCTCAGAAATTCACCTTCATTAATCACTTTCCTCTGAACCGCCCTCCGGACAGAGGTGAAACGCTGGGGCCTGCTGACTGACCTTCGCACAATGTCAGCTTCCTCACCCTCTTCTCCAAGGGCTGACAACAGTCCTGTGACCTTCAGCGGGCGAGTCCCAGAGAGGCCGAGGCTCGTCGTTTCCGAGCAGCCCCGAAAAACTAGCGCCTAAGCCCTGACCTTCACGCAAGGCCCTTCTCCCACCGCTCGCAGCCCAAGACGGGAATCCTCCCGCGACACCATCTCTGGATGGCACCCAGGTCACTGCTCGCCGGGCATCACGCTGCACCATCCCGCACCGGGGGTGAGCAGAAAGGTCCCGTCCGCTAGCAGCCCGGCCCAGCGAGAGCCGTCAGCGGAGCAAGATGGCGACGCCGTCCCAGCCCCTCACCCTCCTCGCATAAAGAGCTCCCGAGCCAGCGCTCCAACATCCACCCGCGGGCGCCGCCCAGGGTCACTTCCCTCCCGCCGGTTCCCCGCGCTCACCAGCCCGGCCCGGCGAGGGAGGGAGCGGGCCACGGCCGCGGCGACGCGCACAGACAGCATCTTTGCAGCTTCGCTTCAGGAGGTTCCTTTGCAGCCGCAGCCTCCGGACTGACTGGGACAAAATGGCCGAGCGGCGAGGAAGGTCAAGGCAGCCGGCCCACCTGACCCGGAAGTCCCGCCTCCGTCTTTTACGTCCGGACTAGAAATTAGGGGGGAGAGGCAATGGGGTGGCCTGTTTAAAATATCATTTTTTGAATTAAATCACAAAATGAGTGATTAGATCTTTGCCAACTCCGGCCCAGACATTCGGTGAACATTTATTTTGTTCCTTTCAGTCGACCTTGTGGTGGCCCCTGGCGACCACGTGGGTAGCGGAATTTGATCAGAAGCATTTCCCAAGTTCCCTCGCGGCTCGAGATAAAGTTTACGTCACCCGGTTTGGACACCAGCCTGGCTTGGCCTTGAGGAGGCGTGAGGTTACCTGGTGTGAGGCTACAAATGTTAACACTGCTAAGCTTTAGTACCTCAGCGGCAATAAACAGGGATTTTCCTAATGAGCCGGTTAAACCTCAGATTGCTGGCTCCATCCGGGTTCCCTGAGTAGAAATTTAGGGCAATCTAAATTGTTGACGACCCTCTACATCATTCTACGTGACCCTTTACGCAACCAAGGTGGAGAATTACGGATCTTTTAGAGCAAGTTGTTTAAAATTGTAACAGACTCAAGGAGTTAAAGTGTGGTTGCCAATCCGACTGAGAGGAATGAATCTAGTCTGTGACTGGGCTAGGGTTCTTTTCCTCTACCAGTAACTTGCTTCATGACACTAGGAACTCAACACCTTCTATACCTACTGAGTAAACTTAGGATGAGACTTTTTCATTTCTACAAGATTGTTGTGATACATAGAGAACTGGTGGGGGGGGGAAGGGATGTATTTTGTGATAGTGGAGAATTTTAATATTGCCTTCACTTTTACTGTTCTGAGAAACATGTTTAGTTTCATCTATCAAATCTTGGCTTACAAATAAAACCTTAATTTGTGTGGGACATATGAATACCTGGGAAACATGGCTTGCAAATACACAGTCAACAGTCCTTTTCTCTAATCTATTTCCTTTTCTCAGGTGAGCCATGGAAAATGTGACTATCTTGGGATTCATGGGTAGGAACAGGCTAGTGAGGGAAAATACGTGGTTTGTAAGAACAAAGTTGCAGAGAGATTTTGAATTATTTGTGGTGATAAAAGTGAACAAAGGAAATAAAGGTAGAGCTTTCCCCCATTTCTCAGGGCTGTACCAAGTTGTCTGAAGTTAGGCTGATGAGCAGAGAAAAATGTAACTGAAACAAGAATAAGCAATTAGCTTTTCACAAAATAGTGCCAAAAGAAAAGGAAGTCCTGACCCCTCCCAAAGTCAAAACTAAGGAAAAAGCTTTGAAGGCCAAGAAAGCAGAGCAAACAGACATTCACCTTCTTGATGGCACAAGTGGTTAAGCATCAGTGCTATGAAGCAACCCATAGCTAATGCACCCGCCAGGGAGTTCAATTCCCCCGCCAGGAAGGTGACCCACATGGTGCAGCAGACCTCTCCTGACCTGCCTGCTGCTCCCCTCAGCAGTGTATTTCAGTCAGTCTGCCTGTTCTGCTCCCCATTCTGTCTCTGGTAAATCCTCTCAGCCCCACACACACCTCTGGCCTGTACCCCAGTTCTTGTGAGCAAAAATATCTTTAAATCTTTTTTTTTTTAAGATTTGTTTATTTATTCATATAGAACTGGGGTACAAGCCAGAGATGCGGAGGTTGAGAGGATTCACCAGAGACAGAGCAGGAAGCAGAACAGGCAGATCAATGAAGTACACTGCTGAGGGGAGCAGCAGGCGGGTCAGGAGAGGTTTGCCACGCCATGTGGTCACCTCCGCGGCAGGTGGGAATTGAACTCATGCGGAAGTGGCTTAAGCTTCTCAGTGCTGTGCTTTAACTAGCTGCACCATAAGGGAGGGCCAATATATCTTTAAATCTTAAAAAAAAAAAAAGACTGGCTCTTGACTATACTTTGAGTGTTGGCAACAGAATTGGTCATCTAAACTGAGTTCAGCTGGCTAATTCTAAATACAATTTTTTTTCAGCATTAAAAAAAACATACAAAATGTTATGGCTAGTTAGAATTCCTTGAAAAGAAAGGTTATATAACTTTAAATATGTATATGGCTGGGAGAAAGATATTTGGTAAGAAAGATACTGATCAATAATTTAATGTTAAAAGAGTACATCACAATTTAATACATGGTCTACCTTTCTCAATATAATACGGTAGACTACAGTATGTTTGGGGCAACAGTGTGATATAACTGAAGAGACTAAAAAACACCCAACTGGAACCAGAACACTGTGGTCAGTTTCCAACTCTACTACCCAATGTTTGCCAAGTCATTTAATCTATTTGCATGTGCCTTTAATGTGAAATCAGTTAAATTTATAATATGCGCCCTTGTGTTTTCTAGGGCTCCCATAAGAATGAAACAAAAAAAAAAGGAACATTACCTCTCACAGTATTAACTATAAAGTGATGAGGGGAGAACTTTAGGGGAGGCAAGAAATTAGTGGAAGAATGGCTGACTCGCAGTGACAGTGGACGTGATCGGCCCAACCTAGGCATATTAAAACCTTCTCCACCACATTTAGCGCCTTGGTAGTGGAAACTAAAGCATAAGATTGACATTGTTGCAGCTCATATTAGAATAAAATAAAAATTCTCAGTTAATGTAGTATCCCATATGGAAGAAGTACAAACATCTGCTATCCAAAAAACAAGTTTCAGGTATTTTTTAAGACAGTGAGCCAAGTGAGAAATAAAAATATAGGCGACTTTATTTCTTCTTGGCGATCACATCTGGAGTGGAGAGCAGGAGCAGATGGGATGAGACAAGTACAGCTAGCACCTAAAACCAGCAAGAGCCAAGGTCTCAGAGACCCGGATGGATCCTTGCAAAAACTACAACTCCCAGAAACCCCTGATCTCTGCGGTGGAGGCCAACGGCGAGTGGGCGGTGCCTTCAGACAGCTGGGCTTTCCTCGCGCTGGGCGTGTTTTGAGAAGTTGGCGGGAGCGGTGGTTATGGAGGCGCTGGAGGAGAAACAAATGCAGGTGAGTTTGCGGGAAAGGGGTCTGTGGCCTCCTGGAAAAGGCATCTCGGACACACTTCCCGGCTGGTGGATGTCCTGGGTTCATCTGCTATTTCTGTTATCCTGTTTTGCTCATCCATCTTTACTGCCGCCTTCCTGATCTATGAGCCCCTCTGCTTACCCTCCTCGAGAGCGTTTTCCTTCCCTCCCAGGCCTGCCCTTGCTTGGATTCGGGCGTAAGGGGACCCCTGGTACGACTGGCTTTCCAACCAAGTCTCTCCGTTCAACAGCAGCTCCTGTTAAAATTTTAATACCTGATCTGCTTCGGCGCCCCACAGCCCAACTCTATGTGTCTCCCGGTGCCGTGAGGCTTATGGTGTGTTGGGACACTCACTTTCAGACTTGGCATGTACAGTAACACTTTAGCACCTGCTTATTGAGCTTTACAGGTATTCGAGTGATGCACGTTATTAGCCTGCAATGCTTTTGTAGCTTTGGGAACTGATGGATTGTTTTCTAGTCATTTTGACTCATTGTATTTGCTCACTTTTAAGTATTTCTGACACCCCTGTCTGTCTCCCTAAAGACAACTTCAGATCTGAAGTAGGAAACCAGAATATTCATACAAAGTATTTTGTTTGCTTCTGATCACGTCGTTTTATTTGCTTTGGGCCATGGTAATAAACAAGGCTTATAATAGGGCCTCCCTAATGGAGCAAGGGGGTAAAGTATAGCACTCAGAAGCTATCCACAGTCACTGCATCATGAGATCAACCCCCAGCCTCAGTTGACCCACGTGTTGCAGCAGATCTCTCTTGCCTGGGCAGGTGCTCCCCTCAGCGGTGTATTTCAGTCGGGCTGCCTGTTCTACTCCCCACTTTGGTGAATCCTTTCATACTGTACCCTAGTTCTTGTGTGCATACATGAATAAATCTTAAAAGTTATAATAAGTGTCTTTCTTTTATGGTTAGATTGCTGCATGGTTGAAAAAAATATTTGGAGAGCATCCCATTCCTCAATATGAGGTGAATCCACGGACCACAGAAATTTTACATCATCTGTCAGAACGCAACAGGGTCCGGGACAGCGACATCCACCTAGTAATACAGGACTTGAAACAGAAGGCTAGTGAATATGAATCAGAAGGTGAGATTAACTCCAGAATTTTGAATAAAAGATAACTAGAGGTAACCAAGTTTTGTAACAACAATAAAGTATAGCATAGGCTACTTGTTAGTTTTGCTACTTTATACTTTATATTACCCATACTGTCTTCCTGCTAACAGTAAATCTCAGGTTTCATGATAGTAATATTTTATTGGCAGTCTGATAGCAAAACAACAAGTCCTTTTACCTCCTTTTACAGGAAGTCAAAACTTAATAGCCTGACATTCAAAATGCCTTGTGGTTTTTCACTTACAGCTTTCTTAGTCTGTTTTAGTTCCCATGTTTGGACACAGTGAGACACTGGATGCCTGAAATAGAGGCCATGAACTGTGAGACTTGAACAGATCATCACTCTGTTTTATATGTGTTTGGGCTTGCTTTAGAATTTTCTTTTATACATATGGAGTTTGAAAGATACAATCAAGACAGCTATTGTTTTTGTGATACAAACCACAGAAGATAAAGTTTGATAAAATACTTTTTTATGGGTGATAAAATGTCCCCCAAAAGGGAAGACTTAATATTTGCCCTATATTTAACCAGGTATATTGTATGTGTTATATACACAATGTTTTGAATGTAGTGCAGTTTTATTGCAATTCTATTCATAAATGCCTTCTCCAACCCTCCAGTTTTGTCTTTGAAATTAACATACAGTAACACTGACTTTTTGTTTTGCTGTATTATTTTAATATACATGGATTCTGAAACCACTCTGACAATCAGTGATGTAGGACAGTTCCGTTACCACCAAAAACATTTCTTGTGATGCTCCTTTGTGGTCATACTTACCATATGCTTTTAAAGTTGTTTTATTTTTTTATAATTCTGTTTATTTTTAATTATTTTTTGTCATTATTAAAATACTATATGTGTCCTCCCTAGTGGTACCGCAGGTTAAAGCTCAGCATTATGAAGCTATCTGCAGTCATTGCAGCACAAGTTTGACCCCCCACCAAGGGAGGTGACCCACATGGCACAGCAGACCTCTCCTGACCCACCTACTGCTCCCCTTAGCAATATATTTCAGTCAAATATGCCTATTCTGCTTCCCATTCTGGTGAATCCTTTTACCTCCTGCACCTCTGGCCTGTACACTAGTTCTTGGATGCATAAGTAAAATAAATCTTTGAAAAATAAAATAAAATACTGTATGAACAAAGAGGCCGTTGGGCTAGAAAAATCTCATTTTGTATAAGCTTCCTTTTTATGGTATCCTGTAATGAAAAATCCAAAGATGATGACTAAGGAATGCAGAGTTTCTTTCAGGGGTGATGAAAATGTTCTATAATTGATGATATTGATGGGAGCAAAACTGTGAATATATTAAAAGTCATAGGATTATATAACTTTAGGTAGGTGGATTGTATGATATATGAGCTATTTCAATGAATCTGTTAAAAATTGAAATAAAGCATTTTGTCACCATATCTTTTCAGCCAAGCATCTTCAAGACCTTCTCATGGAAAGTGTAAATTTTTCCCCTGCTAATCTCTCTAGCACTGGTTCCAGGTATCTAAATGCCTTGGTTGACAGTGCAGTGATCCTTGAAATAAAGGACACCTCACTAGCAAGGTAATTACTGTGATGGTTTTCATTTCTACAGGCACAAATGCTGTAAGGTCTTGACCTAAGGACTTTGTGGTTCGCAGGCTAACTCCATATAGAAAATTTACAATAAATACAGATCACTTGATTTAGTTAACTCCTTATCACTGTTAATGAGTATGAATAATTCAGATAAACTTGATATTTGGTTAACTTCGTATATTTTTAGCACTAGTTTTTTGATATTTGCTTCTCAGGCATAGTTGAAAGGGATTAGGTATCACTTACATTGTTCCCTGTAAACAATTCAGAAGGACTGTAGGCTAAATCCCCTGATAGAGCATAATGAATTTTGATCATAGCCCTCCCCTACTGAGAGTAGTTAGTATTCCTCATTCCTTGTGTGACAGGCATTACATCTGTATAATGGCATAGTATTCGCACAACTCTAAAAGGAAACTGAATCTCAGGTGGGAAGAGTTAAATAACTTCTCTAAGCTAGCAAATGGCAGAGTTGAGATTAAAATCCAGTCTGACTGTAAAGCCCATGTGACTGTCACTAATGGCCCTATCTTAGCTGGGACTATCACCACATTTTTTTGTGTTTTTTATTTTTTTCATCAGCACATGGTGAGTTTATTAAGAAAAGAGAAAAAGGAAAAAAGAAACACCTTTGTAGACACAGGCAGGCAGGAGAATTGCCTGCCACCGCAGTTTGTAACTAGACGACTATATAGGTGTTCTGCATAATTGCCTTTATTCAGGCCTTGAATATATATAAACACAAGAAGCAAGAAGGTGCAGGCTGTAGTGAGGAAGCACTGAGAAAGGGTATTCCAGAATGGGAGTAAATCTTATTTGAGTTCTGAGTGACACATGGAAATTTGCCAGCTGAAAAAGGAAACAGCAGGTAAAAATCAGTATGATTATAGAAGAAGCCACATAGAAATAAAATAATTTTTAGAAATAAGGAATAGTTGTCCTTAATGTCAATTTATGTAACCAGAGTCTTCTTTTAGTTTTCTCCCTGCAGTGAATGATTTGACTTCTGATCTTTTTCATACCAAATCCAAAAATGAAGAAATCAAGCTTGAATTGACAAAACTTGAAAAAAATCTAACTGCAACTTTGGTTTTAGAAAAATGTCTTCAGGAGTAAGTAATTGAGTTGGGAATGGTAACTGTTTTTATTCTGATGGTGGTAACAGGACATTATCAGATTCAGCTTTGACAATGATATGATTTAAAACAACATATGAAGAAATGAAGTTCATAAATTATTTTTAAGTAGAAAATGACTTGGGGAACTCCCTGGTGGCACAGGTTAAGTCTCAGCGCTACCACTGCAACAGCCTGACTTCAACCCCTGGCCAGGAAGCTGACCCACCTGGTACAGCAGACCTCTTCTGTCTAGCTCACTGCTCCCCTCAATAGTGTATTTCAGTAAATCAGCATGTTCTGCTCCCCACTCTATCTCTGGTAAATGCTTTCACCCCCTGCATCTCTGGTCTACACCTCAGTTCTTGTAAGCATAAAAAAAAAAAAAGGCATTAGATATTAAAAAAAGAAGAAGAAGAAAATGATAAATGATTTGGGTGTAGCTGGCAATGGTGAATACAGACTTTTAGCTTTTACTTCATAGAATTTTTTTTTCATGTCTTTTACAAGTAACCCAGGCAGGTTTTATAATTACTGAAATTATGTGATTTTAGGTTTATAAACTACTGTACAATTTAAAATCACATTATATTCTGTTGCCATTTCTTACTAGAGCTCTGCTATCCCTCTTGACGATCTGGACCTTCTTTTGATCCCTTTTGCCTCTGAGATTAGAGGAGTATAAGTAATTTGGTGGTGTGTAAATTTTCAACAATTATTAATGGGTGAATGCAAGGTATTGTGTTATGCAACATTTAGGAGAGAAGCTTTATTCCCTCTGTAACTCAAATTTCACTTTAAGGTATGTTAAATCACAGTAGAGCAGTAGGTTTACTTTTTCTAAAAACAACCTGCATACATTAATTTTAAAATTATTTATTTTTCCTTGAGAAAAATCCCAGATGGCAACTTGGAAAAAAATAAAAAGAACTCAGGGATGTAAAGATTGGAGTGGTAATCCAGCAAGTAGGTTACTCTTTTTTTTTTTATGCATACAGAACTGGGGTATGGGCCAGAGGTGCAGGGGCAGTGAGAGGATTCACCAGAGACAGAGTGGGGAGCAGAACAAGCTGACTGACAAAGTACACTGATGAGGGGAGCAATGGGCAGCAGGTCAGAAGAGGTCTGCCATGCCATGTGGGTCTCCTGGGGGGGCGGGGGCGGGGCTCGAACTCATGCTGAAGTGGCTTTAGCTTCTTAGTGCTGTGCTTTAACCCTCTGTACCATCAGGGAGGGCCCAGGTTACCTACTCTTGACTAATTGACTCAGAGTTGAGTCCAAACTCAACAATTATATCTTCCCTGAGAAGCAAAAATTTTTTTAAAGGGACGTGTGTAATTTGTTTCTTTTACTTTTTAAAGGGATCTCAAGAAGGCAGAGCTGCATCTGTCTACAGAACAGGCTAAAGTTGACAGTCGCCTTCAGAACATGGACTTCCTAAAAACAAAATCAGAGGAGTTCAGATTTGGAATCAGAGCTTCAGAGGTTTGTGTGAAGGACTACATGTAGTTCTTTTTGTCTAATATTGCAACTAGGCAATATTATTACTCCCTTTTGATAGATAAGTGATTGACAGAGATACAGGTAATTGACCCACAGACACATAGGAACTAAACACATCAAACTCAAAGGCTAGACAGACCCGAAATTTCAACCTCTTGGACCTCACACCCATCCTGTCACAAATCTGAACTGTGGAAATGATTCTCATGCAACATAAAAGTGCTTAGATTGGGGCCTCCCTGGTGGGGCTAAGTGTCAGCACTATGAAGCTATCAGCAACCACTACAGCGCAAGTTCGATCCCCAGGCAGAGAGCTGACCCCCATGACACAGTGGGCATCTCCTGTCCTGCCTGCTCTGCCCCTCAGCAGTGTATTTCAGTCTCTCTGCCTGTTCTGGTCCCTACTCTGAATCTTCTAATCCACCACTCCTTTGGCCTGCACCTCAACTCTTGGATGCATAAATAAAAAAAATAAATCTTTCTTTTTAAAGTGCTTAGACTCACAAATAGCTTTTTTATCCGTGAGTTGTAGCTCACTTGCTGTGATGATCACTTTCAAAATGATTCTTTTTAACTGAATCTCCCTTTTTTGTAACTTAGGAACAGCTTTCAGCCAGAGGCATGGATGCTTCTCTGTCTCATCAGTCACTGGTAGCACTTTCAGAGGTGAGTTTATTTTAACCTCCTTTAAAATATTTGTCCACAATTTGTTTTTTTCATTTGTTTCGTATTATAGAGCTTTATTCGCTGTTGACTTATTTTTTCTTCCTTTCCCTCTGTAACTTATGTTTATCAATGTTTGTATCTTTATTATTTGCTTAACTGTATACATGCTCTCTTTTGTTTGGTTTCCTTATTAAGTACCTTATGCTACAAATGTTTCACTGGAGTAAATTATGTGTTATGATTTATTACAACAAATTTATTGAGGGACTGTGTACTTATTATCTAGTAAGTACTTACTGTCTAGTACCTCTTTCTTTTCTCCCAGTATACAATAAAAAGATTCATGTACTTTGCAAATGCAATTATGGTCTATAATAATTGTTTTATCTATTTTGGTGGGAAAGGGGGAGAAACAGTAGGGCTTTTCTTTTATTAAGTCTTTTTTTGTACTTTGATATTCAGATTCTAAAGTTGACAACACATAATTGTATATTTGAGACTCTTAACTGTTCCCTTATATCCTGATTCTTCAATTCCATATTTTAGATAGCAACCTAAATTTTATTCCTATGGGTGTATGTGTGATTTCTTATTATAAGCATACTATACACATTGTTTCCATTGGAAGTAAGTCTGTTTATCTTTGCAGTATGTCTAATGTATCTCTGATAATTATTTAAAATCCTAATGTTAATATTTTATCATAGTTTATTTCAGAAATGGGCAACATTGAGCTGTGGATATCTCTATTACTGTGTAACCCTGTGCTTTTTTTCACCCCCAGAAACTGACAGAACTAAAAAGACAGACTATACCTTTGAAGAAAAAATTAGAATCCTATTTAGATTTAATGCCGGTAATTATTTAATTATTTTCTTGAATTTTTTAAAAAGCTAGCTCCTCCACCCTTCCCCAAGGACACTAAATGGTGGGCTTGTGTTTAGGGATTTAAAATTTATGCTGGATTTTTAGTATTGTGTGTGTGTGTGTATATATATATATATATATATATATATATATATATACAGGGTCACTATGTGAAGTTTTTTGCCTTCTGAAAAGGATTGTTAATATTCCCCCTTGAGCCCTAATTGAGACAGATAACTTTTCCTTGCTTTATTTATTTTTTTAAGAATCCATCACTTGCTCAAGTGAAAATTGAAGAAGCAAAGCGAGAATTAGTAAGTGCCATTTATTTCTTTAGATTTAAAAAAAAGGAAATAAATACAGATACAGTTAAAAATTTCCTTTATCCTTCTTTCTATCCTCACCTGTAAGCCACTGTCCCAAAGTTGCTCTGTGTCATTTCCATGCACTTTTTACCAGTTTGGGGGTACACATGTATATGTTTTGTTTTTCATAAAAAGTATATAGTGGTCTTTGGGGTTTTTTTGCAAAAAAGAAAATCTAAGTTTTGCTTAGATTGTTTGGAAAAGGGGGCTGTGTAACAGTCTATTGTAGATAAAAGGAAGTAGCCAAGGCATAGGTCTTTTCCAAGCAGTGGCAAGGGATGAGGCCCTAGGAGTATGCAGTCAAGAGGGAGCTAAAGATTAATTTGTTTATGATGTAAAGAACCTTAAACATAAAGAGTCTGTATTTAACACATATATGAAATATATATACTTATGTATAAACTTTCAGGACACTAAAAGATGCTGTGTATTTTCTTGTTTTTTGAGCTACAGAGAAATATGATCAAAGCTGCCTTTTGATTGAGCTAGTTCTTTAGGAAGATTATTCTGAAATTAGTATTTAGATTGGGTTAAAGGAAGGAGAACATTAGCATCCAGTTGGCCTGTCTAAGCCAGATGAGGAGGAAGGAGGACAGTGGCAATCAGGATGGGAAAGAAGTGATGTAGGTGGCATTGTGGAAGTAAGTAGCTTAAGGAGTAAACGTCAGAAAAAAATATTCCTGTATCATTACATTGATTCATCTCTCTGGAGGGTTTTTTCCCTTTTAGATATGTATTAGAATCAGAAGTCTGAAAACTTGGAGAGAGGTGTGTTGAGAAGAAGGGAATGTCTGAAAACATTTGTTTTTCGTAGTGGTAGTTTTTTAATATTTTATTGTATGTGTGTATATTATGTATATGTATATTATATTTATTATATATATATATATATATATATTTACATTATTCTTCATCTTGTGCATTTTTCATCTCAGTGGTGGACTCCCCACCACCACTTCACCCATGTGCCATCACCATAGTCCCATGTGCTCTTCCCACCCAATTCCCCTCTCCTCCCCCTTAGAATGTCTCTGGTTTATCGATGTTTGTTGATTTTCATTTTTACTTTATTACACTTGAGTGTAATATGAAACCATTCATTATCTTCCTTTTCTTTCTGGCTTATTTCACTAAGCACGATCCCTTCCAGCTCCATCCATGTTACCGCAAATGGCATGAGCTTATCTTTTTTGATTGCTGAGTAATATAAAAATATGGAACACTTCACAAATGTCCATGTCACACAACCTTTCTGTATCTTCCAATTTTAGTATATGTGCTGCCAAAGCAAACACTCATAGGGGTATTTAAAAAATTTCTGTTTTCAAATAAGTAGCATTAGATGTTGGATCACCTGTTTTATGTACTATGTATAAATAAGGCACCTTATGTATAGTGTTGATAGTGTTTCTTTCTTCCTTTAGGATACTATCGAAGCTGAACTCACAAAGAAAGTAGACATGATGGAACTGTGACCAGAGCCAAACAAATGTCATTTTCTCCAACTAAGTAAATTGTCTGGTACTTAAAGAGTTCTTTCCTCTTAGCATTCCTTACTAACTTAATTTCTGTTCTTCAGAGAGATATTAGTGGCTTTTGATTGTGTGTTGTATTTTTGTGTCCAGATACATATTTTTCATATCAAGAAAGTTGTTGGTTTTCTATTTTGGTGCCGGGTACATCTGCATCGCTCGTTCTGTTAGGTGAACATCATGACACTGTTATGCTCACCAGGCGGCCTAGTGAAGAGTGAAGGTTCTGCAGCCGCAGCAGCTGCTTTTCTCCCTTGCTTCCATCTCCAAGCCTTGCTGTCATTCTTTCTGACCAGCTCACCTGCCTACCTCCAAAGGCTAATGCATGCAGAATGTAGTTTATGAAAAAGACGATCTTTAAATCAGTTGGAGAAAGGTGGATAATTCAGAAAACCCACAGGCAACCCTTAGTATGAGAAATAATAAACAGTTGTGGTCTGAGGCTTGTTTTAAATTTTGACCTGATAGCTACAGTAGCTAATTTTGTCTATCTGTTCTACAGTAGCTAATTGCTAAAAGTAGTCTTGGAAATTAATGTTCAAAGGAAAAGGAGAGCAAAGCATGTACAAAAAGAATCAAAAAAGAAACTTGGGAATGGCATAATGTTATAAGTTATTGTTAAATGTGAGAAAATGTTTTAGTTAAAAAAAATGAAAAGGATGTGTATTTAAAAAACTTCCAGCTATATCCTCTACATGAGAGGAGCATCTTAAAAGTAAGGATGAGCAGATCCAAAATCATGGTAGATAGGTAACATTTTTCTCTTAGTAATTAGTAAAACAGGCATTAAAAAATCAGCACAGATACAGAATATTTAAACAACACAATTAACAGACATCATCTAATAGACATAAAGAACCTTGTGCCTGCCACCAGCCCTGGACAGGTGTTCTTTTCAAGTGTGCACCAACAGCCAGACAGAAGACAAGCACAGGATGAGAGCCTGCGACAAAGGAGTTTCTGTTACGGAGCTTGAACAGACATAGTCTTATTATTGATACTCTCGTCTCCAGACTCTAAAGCTAATACTCTGGTTATTTGTTTCAATAAAATTTGGGGGTAGAAAATAAAGACTGGCCTAGTAAGCCAAAAACCTGGACCCAGGGAACAAAGAGAACAATGTCCTCTTTTTTTAAGATTTATTTATTTATGCATACAAGAACTGGGGTACAGGCCAGAGGGGTGTGTATGTGAGAGGATTCACCAAAGACAGAGCAGGGAGCAGAAAGGGCAGATGTACTGAAACACACTGCTAAGGGGAGCAGTTCTGCCGGGAGAGGTCTGCCGTGCCATGTGGGTCACTTCCCTGGAGGGGAATTGAACTTGAGCTACAGTGGCGGTATATGGCTCCACAGTGTTGTGCTTTAACCCATTGCACCATCAGGAAGGGCCACAATGACATTCTTATATAATCACAGTAAAATGATCGAATTCAGAACATTAAACTTGAATAAAATATGTCTAATGTACATAGTTCACATGCAAAATGTCTCCAATTGTCTCAATAATGTTATTTATACAATTGTTTTTCCAATCCAAGGTCATGCTGTGTCTGCCTGAGATCTGCTTTTGACACCTGTTTTCTCTTTTTAAGATTTATTTATTTATACATACAAGAACTGGGGTACAGGCCAGAGGTGCAGGAGGTGAGAAGATTCACTAGAGGCTGAGTGGGGAGCAGAACAGGCGGGTTTACTGAAATACACTGCTGAGGGGAGCAGCAGGTGAGACAGGAGAGGTCTGCTGCACCATGTGGGTCACCTCCCAGGCTGGGGATCAGACTCATGCTGCAGTGGCTGCAGACAGCTTTACAGTGCTGTGCTTTAACCTGTTGTACCACCAGAGAGGGCCCTGAACCTGGTTTTGAATATTTTGCTATTATTGCTCCATTAGATTCTCTTTTTAGGCCTACAAAATTCTCACCACCTCACACACCCAAATTCAGCTGTCTAAGCTGTCTAGCACAAACCTAGGGTCCATGCAAATTGAGGCACCAGCCCCAAAAAGTCACTATCCTTTGCTCAAGTTCTGGGTACCAAGTACTGTAGGAAGGACAGAACTGGCAATAGATCCCTTGCCTTTACTAAATTAAGAACTTATGATCTAGGCAGGTGCTCATGTTACCAACAGAAAGGATTATCTATTACAGCTTCTCCTTGGGGAGTTCATAAAGCTGGACACTGGGTAAGAAGTGCATCATGAGTGAAACGATACTCATCAAAATGTGTCGGAGCTATTTTAGAGTACACTGACAATTGTGTGTAGATGTCCTTGGTGCCTGTTGGGTTGCCAGAGGAACTGCTACAGAGACCCATGGCTCTCTGTATTCTGGAGGGAACTCTGAGCCAGGATTGCTGATGTTCTGGCTTTGATGAGTCACTACCCAAAGGGCCACTCTACACGGATTCCTGATCTTAGCACAGCTCCTTCTCACATTGTGCAAGTCTAGATTTTTAGGTTTATCTTGCATTGCCCAACTCTCAACATTTATAGTTTTCTTTAAATTCTGCATCAGCAGTGTGGATTGACAGCCTACCTCCATGCATTGGGGCAGAGAATTGCTCTCTTTGCCTCTTCAGGATCTAGATTTTTTGCAGCAGTGCAGGCACTAAGAAGAAAAACTAGCTCTTATGTTACCTAGCAACATGACCTTAAAGTCAGCATCTGAACGCTCAGATTCCCAATGGCTATAACAGGAGCCTGGCCTCCCTTATCACTCATTCATTCCTTGCTTATTTTTTAACAAGTTTGTTAAATGATAGGTGTTAGGTAGTAGAATCGTAAAAATAAATTAAAATTTGCCTTCAATCTCAGAGAGGCAGTTTAGAAATCCATAGACTATCAGGCTGGAAGAAACTGTCCATTTCAAATTTTTAAGTCTTATTGACAAGAAAACTGAGGCCCTAAATGTAAAATGACTGTCCAGAAGTCACACAGTCACTGACCAAGTTGTGTTTGGTACTCTGCTTGCCTGTTCACTGTAAAATATTCTAGCAATTCAAAATTATGTAAAATTTAAAATTCTAAACTCTTCCTTACCCCTACCTCCAATTCTACACTCTGAAAGTAAGTAATATTGTCATTACAATAAATCCTCAGGCCCTCCCTGGTGGCACAGTGGGTTGAGGCTGTCTGCAGCTGCTTTATGAAGCTGTCTGCAGCTGCTTCAGCGTGAGTTCCATCCCAGGCCAGAGAGGTGACCCACATGGCCTGGCAGACCTCTCCTGTCTCTCCCATTGCTCCTTCCAGCAGTGTTCTTCAGTCAATCCGCTTGTTCTGCTCTCCACTCTGTCTCTGGTGAATCCTCTCACCTACCCTGCACCTCTGGCCTGTACCTCAGTTCTTGTATGCATAAATAAATAAATCTTTTTTAAAAAATTAAATAAAAATATTTATTCATATTCATCTCTCCCTAGATAAATGTCTAAAAGGAGTCATTCTATTGAAAAGTTACTTTCAGGGAGTAAAGTCAGGAATAAGAGTAGGAAAGTTTAGACTTAAATTTTATATAATTTGGTTTTTCCTAGAATTCTTTACAATAAGCATGTCACCATCTCTCGGCTTATATCCTTAAGTAATTAAATCTATACACTAGGTTAACTTGATTGAAACAGAGCATGTATCACAAAGCCATGGGGGTATATAGCTTGTTGAATTTTCACAAAGTAAACACCCGCCTGTGAAGATCATTCAGATTAGGATGTAGAAACTATCTTTCTTATGCTCCCTACCAATTATTACTCTCCCAAGAGTAATAAAATTCCCGATTTCTAAGCCAGAGATGCTTTAGAGCCTTATTTAAATGAACCATACAGCTTGTATTCTAGTTGATTTCACCCAACGTTGTATAACTGAGATTTGTCTATGGTGTTGCAGGTAGCAGATGTTTAGTTTGATTGGTTTAGAGACGTGATTCTCAACAGGTGTAGGGTGCTGAAGGGGGGATTTGATTCCTCAGCAGTCATTTGGCACGCTCTGGAGACAGTTTTTGCGTAGTCACAACTGGTGGGTGCTACTGCCATCTAGTGGCAAAGTCTGAGCGTGCTGTGAGAATAGCCCTTATTCACAGGTCAGCCCCTTCTAACAAAGAATTATCTAGTCCAAAATGTCAGTTAGAATACTTCATAGTACCATTTATTTATTCTAGTGTTGATGAACATTCTTTTAAAGATCTGTTTTTATTTATTTATGCATACAAAAACTGGGGTGCGGGCCAGAGGTGCAGGGGTTTCTTTGATTCACCAGAGACAGAGTGGGGAGCAGAACAGGCAGATCTACTGAAATACACTGCTGAGGGGAGCAGTGGACAGTCAGGAGAGATCTGCTGTGCCCTATGGGTCAGCTCCCTGGCGGGGGATGGAAATCATGCTGCAGTGGCTGGCCTGATAACACTGGTAGACTTTAACCCCTGCGTCATCAGGGAGGCCCCGATGGACGGTTTTATGAATAAAGTTTCTGTGCATTCTCATGTATGTCTTTTGGTGTTCAGTTGTATGCATTTATGTGATGTATAAGCCTAGAACAAAAATCGCTGGTATGTTATTTAAAATACTGGAAAAAAAAAAAAAGATGTGGTACATCAACCACACCATGGGGAATTATGTGGCCACAAACAAGATGGAATGCAGCTGTTTTTGATAAAATGGAGAAAATCTGAGAAAATTACAGAAAGAATGTTAAAAACACACATTGGACATTATCATAATACACAACTGGACAACATGAAACACTTTCGAAAACTGCTGGACACCACGAAATATCCTGAGACTCTGAGGTTAACAGGGAGGGTAAGGAAACAGAACAGGGAGACACAAGGGGTAGTGGGAGGGAAAAAACAAAGATAAAGTGGAGAAAGCATTCAGATGAATCAAATCCCACTGATGCATTAAGTCAATGTAAGTCAATTACCCCAGATTTTACTTTAAAAAAAAAGAGATTTATTTATTTATGCATACAAGAACTAGGTACAGGCCAGAGGTTGGGGGGTGAAGGGCTTACCCCGTGACAGAGTGGGGAGCAGAACAGGCAGATCGATGCAGTACACTGCTGAGGGGAGCAGCGGGTAAGACAGGAGAGGTCTGCTGGGCCATGTGGGTCAGCTCTCAGGCTGGGATCCAATGGCTGCAGATAGCTTCATAGTTCTGCACTTTAACACCTTGTGCTACCATGGAGGGCTCTACCTCCCAGATTTTTTTTTTTATTCTACCTCCCAGATTTTATAAATAAAAATATATATAAAGAAATAATACACACACACTGGGGAAAATATTTTCAAAAATTACTGTAGAGTTATTGTATTATTTTACCTCTTGCTAGTTGTGCATGAGAGCTCTGGTCACTATATGTCTTCTTAAATCTTTGGTGTTGTCAGTTAAACATCTTTTATCCATTTTGTGGGCATTGGTGTTATCCCACTGTATACCTTAAACTTGCAGTTTCTTGATGACTAATGAAGCTGAGCACATTTTCTTTCATGTGCTTGCTGACTTTGGATACTCTATTTTTGAATGACCTGGTTAGTCCTTCGTCTGTCTTTTTTTTGTGGGTATGTAGGAAAGCTGAATGTGAGGTATTTATGAAGTATTTGTGCTGCAAATTTCTGCTTTCATTTCTTGGGTTGACATTCACTCTTTTAATATCTTTTTTCTAGACTTATTTATTATTTATTTATGCATGCAGAACTGGGGTACAGGCCAGAAGTGCAGGGGCAGCAAGAGGCTTCACCAGAGACAGAGTGGGGAGCAGAACAGGCAGATCGACAAAGTACACTGCTGAGGGGAGC